ACCAGGCAGATAAGTGAATGAAGGCCCTGTTGATCCAATCCTTTGTTTTTAAACTTTTGATGAGATTTAGATTCAGTAAATACTTCATTTTTCTCTTGACTCTCCAAAAGTTAAAAAAAAAAAAAAAGAGCAAAAAGAGCATGGAGGCAGTGATAAATAACACTGACACTCTGCCTTAGTCCCACAAGTAATAGGCAATAGTTGGTGTGGCGGTGAACCAGCTCCCACAGGTGACTATTGCCCCAAAGGAATGTGGGCCCCAGGTCTTCTGATTTTTCAAAAGAAATTGGAAAGCAGGATGATTTTGGTGTGAAATCTCCCAATTTGTAAATGACAGGTTAAAAATACTGTGTTGGTCAAAGAAAACATCTGCAGCCACTTGGGGCCCACCGCCATCCTTGGCTTTCAGCCTCTGGCTTTGACCCTCATCACCTCTAGTCTAGACTGATAACAATCTTAGTTTTTTATGTACACATATATTTGTTTTAATTTTATTTAAATTCAGTTAAATAACATATAATGTATTATTGTTTTCAGAGGTAGAGGTCAGTGACTCATCAGTCTTATATAACACCCAGTGCTCATTACATCACATGCCCTCCTTAATGTCCATCAACCCCCCCTCCCCTCCAGCAACCTTCAGTAGACTAATAGCAATCTTGGTCATCCTGCCTCTTCTTACCCAGCCTCCAAACCGCCCTGGACTTTCCTTTACAAATTACATATCTGATTATGTGAGCCCGGTCTCTAAAGAGGCCTTTGCCACCTGCAGAACAGAGGTCCCTTGCTGGTTCTATCTAGATCATCCTCATTCCAACATGACCCCTCTTTGCAGCTGTGTCTCTTACCACCCTGCACACACCCTGGCTGTGTTCTCTCCACATACAACTCCTTGGTGTCCTCTGAGCAATCCTAATATTTTCTTTCCATTCATAGGTTTGTTTTTTTTTTTTTTTTTAAGATTTTATTTATTTGACACAGAGAGCATGCATAAGCAAGGGGGGTAGTAGGCAGAGGGTGAGGGAGAAGCAGGGAGCCCAATGTGGGGCTCTATCCTTGAGACCATGACCTGAGCCAAAGGCAGACACTTAACCAACTGAGCCACCCAGGTGCCCCTGATAGGTTATTTTTTTTTTAAGAACAATTATAGATTTATAGAAAAACTGACCAATACAGAGAGTTCCCATATATTCCTCTCCTCCCCAGTTGTATCTTGCATCAGAGTGGTATGTTTGTTACAATCAATGAACCAATATTGACACATCATTATTAACTCAAGACCATAGTTTACATTAAGGTTTATTCTTTTTGTTGGCAATATTGCTATTATAATACCCTTTAAAAGTTTTTTATGATTCAGTTTCCTCTACTTGCATGGCTTTCCCCAGATTCTGACAAGATTTGTTTAAAGGCCAAATAGGAATATCACTTTTTTTTTTTTTTGCAAAGCCTTCTCTGAACGTTTATTTTTTGAATGGGGCCTGGAAGGGAGGGACCAGACAAAAAGAGGAAGAGAAGTAACATTTTTATCAGGTGCCTAATGGATGCCAAGTACTATATATTCCTTTAAATCTCTCTACAGTCCTATAAGCCAGATACTATTATAAACTGTTTGCCGTGAGGAAACAGAGGTTAAATAAGTTGCCCAAAGCCCCATAGCTAATAACTGGGTTTACACCCATGTCCACCTGGCTCCTAGGCCTGCACTCCTCCCCTAGGGCTGCTTTCCCACCACATATCTAGCCTCCCTGCTCTCCCCACTGCAGTGAGGAGTGTGGTGGTGTTCAGCTGTGTCTCCACTCCTTACACGGAGTTGTAGGAGCTCACCAAACCCAAAGGCACGTGTCCTAAAGGCAGAGTCAGCCTAGGAAGAGGCACCACGGATCAATGTCAATTCAGCAAATGCTGTTTGAATTCCTGCCGTGTCCTGGACTTGGTCATGTATGAGGTCAAGCGTAAAAGGAAGATGATGGCAGTGCTGCCACGCAGGTGATAAATCGAGAGCAGACAGAGGCAGGGAAGCTATGGATTTTCCATTTCTCTGCAACTAGAGTGTAAACTGCAGAGAGCAGGCATTCATTTGTTCTGTGCTGCAGCTCGTAGGCTAGTGCCTGATAGTAGTTGTTGCTTAGTAAATATCTGTGGAGTGAATATTTGAATCCTATTGCAAATTTGGGAGACCTAAAGTGACACTTCACTTCTCAGAGCTCTCACGTGCATTCAGCTGGTCACGCAGCTTCGGTTTCTCTGTTTGGTTTAGTGCAGTCCTGTATTACAGGCTGTTTGCAAATTATCCCAGGTCTGGCCTAGATAGACCACACTCCTAGTCCAGAGGTTTTCCTGGACCAGAACTTTCAGAAAAGGGCAAAGGAGGAGGAATTGCCATGCCCCTGCCATCTTTTCTGAGCTGATGGACAAATGACCCTTCCTGGGAGCCGCCTGGTGCTCCTGGACCTGACCTTGGACTGTAGTTCCAGAGGCCTGGCCCCACCTCTGGACTTCACACCAAAAGATGGCCTCATTTTTCTTGAACAAATTAAAACAGACCCTCTAAATGTTATGTGAATGTAGTCATGTATTCAAATATAGTCATTAATTTTCTTGAAGAAAAAACAATTATCTCCGACACAGTAGACTTGTTTCAGACATTTGCCTACAAAACTTTTCTCTCCTCCCTGTTCCCTCCTCTCCTTCCCTGCCCAGTTTTCCCTTGACTTCTGTGACCCTGTCTTTCACTTGTATTGCTGTCTCTCCCACATGCCTCTTTCCGCCGTGGCTCTTCTAAGTGTGCCTCCCTCTGCAGTTGTCCCGTGTAAATAGATCGCTCTCTGTTCCTGGTGAATAACCAGGATCACAATTGCTGTCTGGGTTGTGCCCAAGGTGACAGGATTGATGGACCTGGAGGCTGATTTTCATAAACCAGAGCTACCAAGTGTTTCAAAAACAGCCTTGTTTTTGCCAAGTAAGGTGAGCAAATATAGGACTAAGTTTAAACATCCATCAGGAGTTATTTTTGAGGTGATTGCTTCTAAATGAGAGGCATTCGAAAATCTCACAGCTTTCTTTACAAGTAAATTCCACAGTCATGTATTTTGCTGGTGTCTGCTGATTAATTACGATCCTGTGACACCATGAAAAGCCCTGGTGGTTGGTTTTGTGCAGCTGTGGAGAAAAGCAAAGCAAGGCCCAGTGACTTTGCCAACTCTTTCAGGATAGTGGGGATTCAAGCAGAGGGAGGTGGTTTTTTTCACTCTGGCAGTCACCACATAAGAACAGAAGCCCCAGCCAGACCCATTTCTCCAGACTTCACGACGGGTGGTTTGGGTCCCTGCGGGGGTGTGGTAAAGTAGTGATACTTGATCTGTTGCCTCTGAAATAACAGATCCATTATTAGAGAAAACGTTTGCAGTCTCCACATCAGGACTTATGTGCATTCTCCTATACAATTATGTCTGTTTAGACCCCCCCCCAAAAAAGTAGTAACATATAGCAAAGGAATCACAATTTTTTTTTTAATTCTTTAAACAAAGGTGCTCAGGGTGTATTTGCTGTTGGTAACTGCAGATGTCTGACCCAAGAAAACTGCTAGTTCATTCCTGTTTAGGCTCTGATGATTCTGGATCTCTTCTCTTGGACTCTTGCTTTTTCTCATTACTCGCTTCCCTATTTAACTCTCCCACTCCTCATGCACAGGAGAGAAAGGGAAGAAAAAGTTGAATCTTGCTGCTTTGAGAGAGTCATCTGGAGCTCTGGTGATGGGAAAGGAAAGGGAAAGGGAACAAACTAATTATTAAAATGGACTTCAAAGTTCTGGGTGTGTTTATCCATACTTGCTCTGCCCACCTCCTCCGCTTGATTTAGATGAGGGGCCTGAGGGATTTCTCTGACATGCGTCATTCTCCTTGGCACTGATTAGGTCAGAGGATCTCATCTGTGCCATAGTCCTTTCTCTCTGCTGCAGGTTTGTACTTGTTGCAGTGTTGTTGATGTCATTACTGAGTGTGAATCCATGACGTGCTTAAATGAGCCACTCACATAGATGTACACATGGTCATGCGTGCTGCATCTGTGACCTTCATTCTAAATAGGGGCAACTAGAGGATTTGTTTTTCTCTGCTTAATTCGAATATATAATGTCCTATAAGAGTAGGATGTGTCTGTATTGCTGCTTCCACTCCACATCTCAGTGGAAAACTGCTAAAAATAATCAAAATAGTTTACAAACATCACTGTCCCATGTTTGCAAAGGCAAGCATCATCGTGGCCTGCTTCTTTGGCCAAGAATGTTCTGATAAACCCGACACACAAACCAGTTGGGACTCTGAGACAATTGATTTTGCCTCTGCAGTAAGACTTTGACTTTAAAAGGTACATTTAGGGGCACCTGGGTGGCTTAGTCAGTTAAGCATCTGCCTTTGGCTCAGGTCATGATCCCAGGGTCCTGGGATTGAACCCTGTATTGGGCTTCCAGCTCACAGAGAGCCTCCTTCTTCATCTACCTCTGCTGTTCCCCCTGTGTGGGCTTGCTCGCTCGCTCTCTCTCTCTGTCAAATAGATAAATAAAATCTTTTTTAATTAATTAAGTAAGTAAGTAATAGTGCATTTGTTTCATGTGAGACTGCTAACATAGAGTAAGATATTGGCCTTTTTTTTGCTTAAATCAATTTATATAGGTTGCTGTAACTAATAAACTCTTGTATCAAATGATTGTTAAGTCTGAGAGTAGTCAAAAAAAAAAAAAAGTCTTGAGAGTAGTCACTCTTGTTTGGAATTGTGCAGGGGACCTAGAGCATAGGTAGGGATTAAGGGCCTAGATTTCTTGCCACTTGCTACGTCCTCCCAAACCAACTTGTTTCCTGCACAGAGACCAGAGCCACATTCTGCAGGTGTCTGTTTTCTTTGAGGGGAATATTTTGAGGAAACCTAACAGAGAGGAACTGAACATTTAGGAAAAATATATTTTCACAGCAGGATATTGCTTTTTCTCTTTTTTGGTTTAGGTTTTTCATTTGTTACAAGCCTTCACAGACTCCAAATACAGACTGAATACATACTTTCAGCAGGAGCTGGCTGACGTTGCTGTTTGTACCAGAGCCAAACTCTGGCTGGCCGAGAGGTATGTTAAAACCCCACATGAGCAAGGAGTTATCAGGGGTTAGGAATACATTGGAGAATTGCTGTTTCTAGTTGTGGGAGTTTTAAAAGTCATTGGCATGAGTTTTCTAAATTTATTGGAGTATTTATCTTTTTAGAACTTTGGGTTGTGGTAAAGAAAGAAAAATATTTTCTTGACAATTTTTCTGAAACTGCTCTATGGCTGGGGGCATGTAATATGGCTTTTTATCTGTCTATCAATCAGCTTATTTTTATTAATACCTGTCTTGTGCCCAGCCCTGTATCAAATATTATGGCAACAAAAGGCAGTAATTGACTAAAATCACGTGATACAAACTCAGGTGCCACGGCAATTCGTAGATTAGAAATTAGGGAGACACTTGAACAGGCACAGAGAAACCAGTAGGATGTGAATAAGAAAGATGTGCAAGTTGCCCCTTTTTAGGTAGACAGTAGAATAACTTGAATAATCAAGACAAAGGAGGGTGGATACATATTTTTTTATTCTTGCCATTGTTAGTTTATTCTAGATCTTACAACATTTACTATGTGAAAGACAAAATAAAAAGAATTTCTCATTTAATATGCAGGGAGGCCTCTCTGTAACAATATGTTCCAAATCCATGTTGTAAGACTCTGATATTGACAGGACAGTTACTGCAAAGGGCCTCCCAGTATGTCCTCTGTAAATGCCAACACAGGAGGTTCAGGGGAGTCCCAGAGGCTACCACATTCCATGCCAGAGTATCTTGGATTCAATTAGAAAATCAGTGTATTAGTTGCCTTACATCACGGCCTTTTCTTTTGTACTTCAAAAGCACAAAAAATGTACTTTTGTTCCCTTTTGTTGATTCCTCACCTTATATGGGAAGGCAGAAAATGGGTAGTACAAGAACCACAAGTCACTATAATCCAACAGATTCTTGTTGAACACAGGCTACACGCTGGCCTTTGTGTTAGGAGATATAAAGGATGCAAAGATACAGAAAAACTAGCTCTGGCTTTAAGGAACTGATATCCAGGAGGTGAGAAAGATGTGTAAATAAATAATCTTCATCCTGTAAGGCAAGGGTAATAACAAATATGTGTAGGAAGCACATGAGTAGCCAAGAGGAGGGGCAGGGACAGGTCTTCAAGAGATGAGTAGAATTTCAGCAAGCGACGAGGCAGGGAGGGCATTCCAGGCTCTGGTAGTGTCAGTGGCAAAGACGCGGGAGAGTGAAGTGGTAGGGTGAGTGTGGAGAGATATAAAGAAGTTAGCTCCAGGGAACGCCTGGGTGGCTCAGCGGTTAAGTGTCCTAAGTGTCCACCTTCGGCTCAGTGTGTGATCCTGGGGTCCCTGGATCGAGTCCCACATCAGGCTCCCTGAATGGAGCCTGCTTCTCCCTCTGCCTCTGTCTCTGCTTCTTTCTCTGTGTCTCTCATGAATAAATAAATAAACTCTTTTAAAAAAAAGTTAGCTCTTCTGGAACCTAGTAGAAGGGTACACAAGGCAGCAGAAATACGTGGAGGCCATACAGTGAATACTCCTCAAGGAAACTTTTCCGTGAAAGGGAACCATTGAAGGATTTCTTGGTGTGTGGATATGTGAGTCTCCCTGTCTAAGCACCTATAGCTCTGGAAAGAGATATTGATGGGGAAATTCTCTTATGTCTGAAATGTCAGTAAAGTGATGGTTAACTCTCATTTTTAGACCAGTTTGTGTTTTCTCTCTTTTATATAGAGAACAGAAGTTGATTGACCATAAACTGCTTCTCTGAGCCTAGTATCATTTGCCTTCCTTGTGACTTTTAGCTAAATCCCCTAAACTGCCTTTTTGGGGAGAATAGGGAGTTGCAATCACATTCCTGCCCTCATCTGTTTATCAATAGCAGACTAGGTCCTCCTAGCTGTTGTTTCTGGGGATCAGGAAGTCAGGGCTCTCCAGGAACCATCCTATTGAAATTTCAACTTCCAGCCAGGCCGGCCCCAAGACAGAATCCTAAATCTCCTGTTCTGCAGATGCTGTAGAGGCATTTCTGCCCCCTTAGCCTGCTACCCCTTAATGGGTCTCATAGAAATTCATCATCTACTGGCCTCCTGAGCCCATTCCTTCTTGTTGGATGGGAAGGATGAGTTGGTGTAATAGGCCAGCCATCTGAACAGACCTTCATGCTGAGCAGTCAGTGCCTGAAGATGGATGACCAAGCTGCCATCAGCCTCCTCTCCAGCTGGAGAGGTCCTCCCATCCTCTTTTAACTTTCCCTATTGCAATTTGCTCATTAGGCTTTCAGCATCATCACTGCCCACCCCCCCCCCAACACAGACACACCTTCTTTGATTTTTCTCCATGATTTTCCAGCCCTAGAAAACAAAAGCATGAATCACTGCAATTCACCGCATTTCTACCTTCCTTGCTGAGAGTCCGGGACAGCCACTTTTATGTTTCCAGTGCAGTCAACTCTTTATTATTCAAGTGTGAACTTTATACTTTGTGGGTGGTCTATAGGTAGTTCCTAACACCAGGCCTCCTCTCGCTCCCAATGCACTTTTACTGTATTAATCAGGATGTGTTCAGAGCCTGAAATAAAGTTTGAGAGGAAAACTCACTGCTGGAGCACAGTCCATTCCAAAACCACCAATCAGTCTTTCTGTATTATCCACATCATTGACATGATAACCTTGAGGTTCCTGAAGAGGAAAGTAGAGCACCAAATATAAATGATGAAGCTTCAGGCTGTCCTGTGAGACATACCTGCCTTGTCCCTGAGGTCCTTTGAGAGTGCTACCCTGGGAGGCTTGTGTCTATACTAATACCTCCATGCTCACAGGAGCCCATTCTGGGTCCTAATGGGCCATTCTCAAAGCCATGTTCATATTATCACCTGCCTTTCCCATGAAAGACATTGCAATATGGAGTGTTCTCAGTTCCACTGCTCAAGAGGCTCTTTATGTCCCTAGCAATTTACATATGAAAGAAAAATAAATGTTCCTTTGTGACTACCAAGGATTTTCTGTATCTTCTGAGTAGAAGCTGTGAAACATTAATGTTACTGCCACACACACACACACAAAAAAAAAAAGCTAGTTTAAATTTTAGCACCGATGGGACACCTGGGTGACTGAATCAATTAAGTGTTTCCCTTTGGCTCAGGTCATGATCCCAGGGTCCTGGGATCGAGCCCCTCATCAGGCTCCCTGTTGAGTGAGGAGTCTGCTTCTCCCGCCCTCTGCCCTCTGTGTGCTTGCTTGCTCTCTTCTCGATCTTTCTTTCAAATAAATAAATCGTTAAAAAAAATTTTAGCACCAACACCTTTTTTCTTCTATAGTTGATTTGATTATTAGCCTGAATTCATTCATCCCAATAAGTACATATGCATTAGTAAGGGTGTCATTTATTTGTCTTTTTATTACCAACGAAGGTTTCTTTAAAAAAATGTCATTGGAGCCATTGGATAACCAATTTGGTTTTTAAAATTTTGACCCTGAAATTGAGGGCACATAAAATAAAGACTTTTGTCATATATTTATGTTTTGACTTTGCAAGATTAATTGGGATTTATATGAGGTGGTTAAGCAATAACCCTGAAGTTGTTGGGGGAATTTTTGGTGATGAACGGCCAGCTGGCAACATGGCCTGAGTAGAGGCCTGGGCTTCTGCTCTTACAGGCCGCTTTTCATTCCAAAATGTCAAAGCCTTTATGGAAATCAGCTCATTAATCCTTCTTGTTCCTTCCTTCCCCTTTTTCCTCCATCCCTCCCTCCTCAGTCCAGGTCAGTGTCTCTCTTATGGTGTAAAGACAGTTTAACAACTACTGAAGGAAAACGAAGCTGACCCAGGCCACAAGCGGAGTGCACAGAGAGGTCGGTGGCGGGCCTGGGGAGGCTGGCCGTGGGCACCCAGTGAGGGCACTCGGCAGCCACCCAGCCTGACCCCCTGGGCCACCCTTGCTAACAGCAGATTTCAGCCCTACCTCCCCAGCTGGACCATAGACTGCCTAAATAGGCTGAACTTTTTGAAAGTCCTGTCAAATAGAACTAAGAGGAGAAAAGACTTATTATTTAGATCAAGAGTTGGAATTATTATTATATTGGGCTTAAAAGTTTTCAGAAATCAATTTGGTTCTAAAAGGGAGAAGTGTGTGTGTGCACTTTCCTTCAGATAAATGCAGTGGACTCTTCAGATAAAATGAACATCAGACTAAGTGCAATGGATGATGTGATGACCAGGAAGAAAAATGGGGCCTATTAAATTTTTTTTCTTTTTTCTTTTTTCTTGCTTGTCACTGTAGCATATACTTATCATAGAAAATTAGGCAAGTATGAAATTTGGAAAGGAAGAGAATATAAGTCTGCTCTTGCCAACATCCAGTAGAAGCCACTATTACTAGTTTCAGTTTTACATATACACTTATTTCATCTTTTTGCCTGTGCCTTTTTTTTTTAACATAGTTGTAGTTTTGCTGTACGTAGAAGAGCTCACTTTTTTCACTTAATAATTCATGACAGTGTTTGCCATCATTATTAAAAAAACTCTTTGGGGGATCCCTGGGTGGCACAGCGGTTTGGCGCCTGCCTTTGGCCCAGGGAGCCATCCTGGAGACCCGGGATCGAATCCCACATCGGGCTCCCGGTGCATGGAGCCTGCTTCTCCCTCTGCCTATGTCTCTGCCTCTCTCTCTTTCTCTCTCTGTGACTATCATAAATAAATAAAAATTAAAAAAAAAAAACTCTTTGTGGTATAGCTACTATGGAAAATAAGATGGCGTTTCCTCAAAATATTAAAAATAGCATTACTATATGACCTAGCAATTCTACTTCTGGGGATAGACCTAAATTAATTAAGAGCAGTTTCGAAGAGATATTTGTACACCCATGTTCATGGCTGCATTATTCACAAGAGCCAGAAGGTAGACATAACCTGAGTGTTCATTGATGGTTGAATAGGTAAACAATGTGGCATATATGGGCAACATAATATTATTCAGCCTTAAAAAGGAAGGAAATCCTGATACAGGCTAC